GTCGCCTCGCCGCGACCGCGGCTCCCCGAAAGCCCGTTTTCCGCTGGAAACGCAGGGACGCGTAGCGCCGCGTCGCACCGCGTTGGACCGGGGACCGGCACTCTCGCGAATCTCCGCGCTCTCCATGCGTTCACGCCCAACAAGCATGGCGCGCGCCGCCCGTTCATCGTTCCGTACGCGGCGGATACCTCACCTCCCCCGTTTTCGCGACGTCTGGCATTTCTTCCGTTACCGCGCGCGCATCCGCATTTCACCCTTACGTAATGCAAAACTCGGTAATTTCATCGGGATATATCCTTTGTCTGTACGTTGGAGATCGGAGGGAGGGATTGTCTGCGTTCAGCGGATAAAGCGTCTTTGCAACCGTCGTAAGATTCTTTGTGATTCATTCTTTGCCCTTGCTGCTCTCTCTCTCTCTCTCTCTCTCTAAATGTACAATTATATTACATATAAATCAGTTATATTAAAGAATCTTACGACAGGTGCAAAACTGCCTTTTCCGCTGAACGCAGCTGTTTGCTTCCTGTAAGGAACGTTTAGCTCGAATTAGAATTTTTTATTTTCTTATTTTTTTCGACGTACTTTTTGTCACATTTGTTTTCCCCAGCGTTGTCTAGGATACGTCACAAATTTTTATTTTTTACAAAATTAGACGTCAGATTGACGTCAGTTATCTAAGAACTGCATTACGTGCTTGAGTTTTTTGTAACTTTAAAGTTGTTGATGAAAATGTATCTTAAAAAATTTACATTTATATAAGTATAAAATATGTAAAACACCAAGTAACTTAATATCAATAATTTCATATTCTAAAATGTATATCATGTTTGTATCGAGTGTGAAATTAAATATTGATGTTATGTTACTATTAATTGTTGTTTTTTACATCTAAAAGGCGATTTAAAGACGTCTTATGTCGCAATTTTAGACTTTTTGTTGTTTGGGTGCATCCTCGAATACTCGTATATTTCACGATTAAAAAATTCACATTCATAAAATCCTTTCAAGTATAAGCTTTATCTATAACATGTTGATGTTAACACTACAATGCATCAACAAATAGTTACGTAAATCTCAGTTCGTAATATCCGGCAATGGAGAGAAAAGAGCTTACATAAAATCGCTGTTTATAAAATGTATAAACTCGTTATAAAATCATATAGATAGTGATTTCGTCGTCCTACCCAATGAAACCGACGTCGCGTTCGGTCCGCTGAAAGAAGTATACCGAATCACTTTTTGCGTCTTCGACCGTGCGCGGTGTATGTGTTTTTGGTCTCACGAGTACAACGATCGTAAGAACAAAGAAGCAGGAAGGCGCGAGGAAAGTGTGTCCTTTTGTGTACAGCCGAGTGACCGACAGAGCCGGGGCATGTAGTGCCGCCGTACGCGTTACGTAAAGCCGCGTTTGTTGCACAATAATCGGTTTCTATAAATAACTCCAAGCATGCCGCGCTCCGGCTTGACTTCTTGTTTACATACGCTTATCACCGTTGTATTGTGCGGTGTCCCTCAGTCGTATCCCCCGAGTCCTTCGAATCCTAAGGTTTGTTCGCGTCGCAAGATCCAACATGCTCCAACATGCTCCAACATAGCTCCTACTCACTCTATCAAGCGCGTTGGAGTGAATAAGAGCTATGGTGGGAACATATTGGAACATGTCGGGGCATGCGACGCGAACAAACTTCTAGAGACTAATGCCCGTATTCATAATTAGACCTTGTATTTAAGGCTTCCTTAAATTTATCTTTAGATGCTCAGTAGCCAATGAAATAATTCGTAAAGTATCTAAAGATAAATTTAAGGAAGCCTTAAATATAAGGCCTGACTATGAATACGGGTATAAATCTCATTCATACACAGACGTTTCATAATCTACGTATTAAACTTTGAAAACGCGAAGTTAAGAAACGATGCAAAATTCGCTGAACTTCGGTGTCTACGGATGCATTCTATAGATGCTGCATTTACTAGATACTATATAAAGGTACACTGAGAAAAAAATATTCTAAATTTAAATAAATATTTATTTGAATAGTGCCAACTAAATATTTATTGAATATAAATAGGGTTACCAACTCTTGGTCGCACGAAAAGAGTACATTGATATGCAAAAAGAGTATACTTTCTAAAAAAAAAGGAAAAAAGATGACGAACTTTTTTATTTTAAATGCTGGCATTCAATAAAATGACATTTTTAGAATTTTTATTGACGTCTATTCAGTCTTCATAAAGTTACGAATAAATATTTCTTTATATTTTACTTCCAGATTTTTTAATGTTAATGTTAATAAAATTGAGAAAATAAAATTGATTCATGTATTTAACATATTTTGCTATTTATAAGTTTCTTCAACAAATATATATAACCAAATCTCTATCAAAACCTCTATATAATATGTAAATAAATATTTATATTTTACATAATGGTCAAAGCCTTAGTACAAGCCAAGCAAAACTTTTTTGTAAAGTAATAAATGTAAATATTAAATAATAATTTTTTAAATTTCGTCTCATTTCTCAAAATAGAGTACAATAAGTAAAAAGTAAGAGTACGCTGTTTTCCGACTTTGAAAAGAGTACATGTACTCTTAAAAGAGTACGGTTGGTAACCCTAAATATAAAGATATATTTATTTAGTACAAAAAACATTAATTTGATTCAACAACCATTTCTTTTTATTAAGTAAATATTTATTTACTGTAAGTAAATGTTTAGTTAGCAGTATTCAAATAAATATTTATTTAAATTTAGGGTATTTTTTTCTCAGTGTAGATGTACCAATTAGAGTGGATTGACATGATTCAATTGTTGAACGAAATGACAAAAATTTTAAATATTAAGCTTTTAATGATACGTGTAGCTCTAAATTCGTTGTTTATAAAAATTTAATAAAATTAATTTATTCAGAGCCATACGTATTATTAAAAGTTTAATATTAAAAATTGTCATTTTGTCCAATGATTGGTTCATGTTTGCTGGTACATTTATCTTATGAACAGATTTATTATCTATCAACATTTCTGCGTCAAGTTCAATTGATTGGCGCTTTCGGTTTGTTCCTTTTTAAAATTGGTACTACAAGAAAAATTCTCTAAGAAATATTTATCTAAATTTTTATCTTTACGCATATGGATAACGTAGCGAACACTGTTTTAAATCCAGTGAAGCAAGTCGAAAAGATTCATTAAATCATACATTTGTTTCATATCGCGTCACTAATCAGTGTGTCGTTATAATTTCATTAATCTAAAAAATATAAAAGAAACTGCAGTATCATATGTGGCGTAAAAAGTGCAAAAAAGCGTACGCCATGGTAATAAAATTAGCTGTCGATGCTATTATCACCAAACGGATGAGGTATGAAGCGTAAATAAATGATCAATGTACGCGACATACCTAATAAAGTAATAATATCTCGTTTCTCATATATCACCGCTTCGCGTTACGTTTTATTATTTATACATTTCTAATCGCAGCAGTGTGAGACGCGGCAGTGGAGGTGGCTCAGACAGCTTCGTGTATCTGAATTATATAATTCATCGCTTGTCGAAAGCGATTATGCTTATTCTACGTTATCCGATGGCGTTATTCCGCAAACCTTGTACGACGATAAGTCCGCCCTCGCGGTTATGGCGACGTTAAGGGGAAACTATTTCCCAAACTTCCTTTGCGCGTTGGAATGTACAACTTCGACACCAAAGTTGAACGTAACGCACGAAATCACACCAGATATGTGCTTATCCGTTTAATCGCGACAAATACGATATCAGCCCATTAAACAGACTGTCGTTACGTAATCGGAATAATTCTTGCATTACTGATAAATTTGCCCCTCGCCGATAAAGTAATTTATTCCGAAGCGCGCACCTCGTCTCTCTGTACACATATATTTATTCATTTATAACTTTGCTGGGAATAGCTTAGAAACGCAAATTACATTTCACATGTCAAATACATCTGTTCGTTCCTGTAAACTCGTAATGGACGAGTGCAGTTGTTAATTGAGTATTAAACATGACTTTTCGTATTCTAATTTTAACCTTTAAGATAGGTATACATCTCACACACGCACACAAACAAATTTTATTTTTATAATTATATTTTTCAATAGTACGTATATAGTTAAATTTACATCCTTATTTATTCCTTATTTATATCCTTACAAGATAGAGGAATGTAAAAATTATGAACTTTAAGACTTCTGGGTAATGCTTTTTATTTTTCTT